GGAATCCATGCAAAAGTCTTTACAAAAACACACTTGACCGTCCGTAAAAAATGGCGGTCAGATTAGTCAAAGGTTTAAAAACCAAGACGAACGTTTGAAGACGGTGAATCCTCGGGATCCATTCACCCTGAAACCGACGAATTCGGAGCGACACGACCGTCGTGTATCCAATACTAAATCAATCTATTTCGCCTGTTCGCCGAGCTTGGCAATTTGTTTGCAAACGTTTCATCACCAGCCGAGGTGACATCATCAGTGCTTGTGAAGTGGTAGTCTTCTGCTTGTGTCCGTTCGTTTACATGTGTTCTTCTCCACCGACCATTGCTGTCCCTTGTTCTCATTGTGTTCGACTGGGTTCGCCGTTAAACTGGTGAGTGGGGGCGAGGTTGGTAGGGGGTGGGGGTTGTCCATCCGTCCTGATTGCGGTTTCGGTCCGTTCTCAGGTCACGCCTTGACCTAGATGTGAAGTGAAGGCCAAGCACTGATGATGTCACCTCGGCTGGTGATGAAAAGTTTGCAAACAAATTGCCAAGCTCGGCGAACAGGCGAAATATAATTCAGTTCACCTAAGCTACGATAACCAATTTTCAATACTTTGTCAACACTAAATCAATCTAACTACCATTCGTGTAGTACTCTGCTGACATTAACTGGGATTGACTACCTCAGGGGAAATCCCGTTAAACCATTGCTCTAAAGGAGTCGGCTAGACTACTGGCATCATTTTTTCAGTGTCAGAATGGAACTCTCCTCCATCCCAGGCTATTTGTGTTCCGATCATCGATTAATTCAAGTCGTGGCTCGATAAAGCATCGCAACACCTAACTGTCCAGCGCCCATGAGTGTAACTGATAATCTGTTATTTGATTATTTCATTGTACTACCATCCGAACCCAGTATGGATGATCCTATGGGAATCAATAAGCTTCAGTACTATGAATCTCTTAGAATAAAAAATGGAATTTGACAGGAATAATGCAGCACAGCAGACGTGCGAGGCACATTTGGATAACCATTTGGTGACATGATCATGGTGAGTTGGTACTTCAGCACGACACTGTTAATCGTCAAATCTAATTCGAATTCCATTACACTCCATTACAACCAGTAAGGCTACTTTTTAGGAAGGCAACCCACTTGCAAAGTCTCACATGAGTTTCAGGGGCATCACAGTACAAACAACTCACCGCTGCCACTTAGACAGAATCGACCTCAATCCCATTGAACATTCGCAAGATCAGCTACATTTCCTCATTTTGTCATCAACCATGTCCATGCAGGCTGCTCCATTCCGAATGCCATTTTAAATTGCTTTCATATCTATCAAAGTTGTCGCATTAACAGGTAAATTTGTTGGATATTAGGAATATTCTAGTTAACCAAATTATTAAATTTTACGTCACTCGGAATGATTTCGACTAAGCCGCGTTTGCCCGTTTCACTTCAAAATTCGTGCTTGTTGCCAGAACGCGGTGGTCAGGATATTTACCAATCCAATTTGAAGCCCTGATAAGATAAAAAGCATGGGCAATTCCAGAAAAAGGTAACGACGGATGAGACTCAAATGACCTACTTTTTTTATCACACACTTGTGTGATGAACAGCAGACGGGGCGAACATCATAGTTGGGAAAACCTGCTATTCAGTGATGAAAACAGGTGACATAATCCCCGGGACTTGGTGTGGCGAACTACGTAAGGCCCCACTACGATAAGCGTGGTATTGAACTGGACGACAGCAAAGCTGCTTACCACCCAAGTTGAGTGGTGCCGGAAATCCAAATAGGCTTAGGGAATGCGGTGATCGTTTTATGCCCCCCTGCGATAATTGAGCAAGTCCGAGAACCAACACGAAAACAGTTCCGCCACAGGTTTACAGGATAGTGCTGGTGGCGAAGTAATCATTACAGAAAGAAGAAATATACACTATTTTGAACGAGCCTCGCTAAGTTTCTGGTCCTGGTCGCTGCTAGAGTTAAAAACCAATTAAATTAAATTGATTTAAAGAACAACAGGTTTCTGTTCCCTCCTGTTTTTTGCAAAGGACAGATCCGCTACTTCGACATTCTGATGATGACAACAAACTTCTGAGACCTTTTGAATAACTCAGTTTATAGATATCTATCCTAAAAACCGGATGTGCGGCTAAACAACACTTCGCAAAATATAACGCCGGTGTTGAGGCTCTCCACAGTAGATAGCTAGTTAATTTAGGGCGTCCGGTAAGTGTATCATTATCACCATGTATTTTACTGCTCTCAGAGCTCTCAACAAGTGAAAAGCTGGATGGAATACGGCATTCACTCCGTCAGATTAGTTAGTACGACTTTCGACTCGGATGGGAACCAACGGGAAATTTGTTACCCCATAGTGGTCGGCCGAACCGGAATCGGTTTGGCAATAAGGTAGTCTGGTAGGAAAACGGGATAAGCAATGCCACGGTTGAGAGCAGCGTTTGAGGTAAAGTCGATTACGCGATTGCTGAAGTGCTTGATCTCAATGGCTCACGGCGGTTTTTGCATATCATCAGACAGGTTCACTCAGAAGATAGTAGCCAAAAGAAGAGCAAACTATGACATGACCTGATGATTTAAAAACCCTAACGAAGAGAATCGCTTACGTAGGTAGCGATAGGCCTCGCAGTTGGTTTTGAAATATAATACTGTAATTTTAATAATAAATACTACACTGTTTTAAAATTTATTTCATTTCTACACATAGACCTTTCCTTGTAACCGTTTTCGTGTAGTTAGCTAGGAGTGCATAAACTTAGTTACGCACAGAAACTAGCTGCAAGGTCAATAGGTTTTGGTAGACAACAGTTTATCTGAGAAAGTATAATTGTTCCTGGGAATTTACACATCGGTGTAAAGTATGTACAGAACCTCCTTCCTCTGTAGTGACTTACAATACGACAGATTTGAGGAATCCCATGGCTCCGTTTTCAGCCGACCGTTCTGATGAGGATACCGGACCGAGTATGGGCGACTCAGGCAGACTGGATTTCCTGGTTCCATGCTGGGAAGGCGACGGTGATGAGGATGTAGAAATGTCATTATTGCCGGCGAAACTGACCGGGCTGGGAGAATTGGAGCGAGACACAGAAGTGCCATAGTTGGGAAAACTCATTATGGGAGGCGAATAGCGTAGTCGCTGAGAGGTATTTGGGAGGGTGGGTGGAACCTGGGTATAGAATACGAAAAGCACAATGAATGTAACTGGAAATCGATAATAAATTCAGTACGACAACACAATAGTCAAATAATATGCTTGCTACCCTGAGACCTAGGCTAATAATCATGGTCACCATCTGGGCAACGGTAATTTTTCTGGTGTAGGTAATTATCAAATCACATAAGTTGGTTTTCGAATCCTATCATCACGGCCTCACCGTCCTGCAGGTCTGTCTCTTGATCGCGTTCGATTGGTTGCAGTACCCTTCCTGAACATTATTTTTTGAACATCAAAGAAATTGTCACTGTATCAACAGGATATAATCAGGATTGTTAATAGCAAAGGAGCGAACACATCAGATGAAACGTTGAAAAATGTTTCAAGGTGCTGAAACATAGTAGCTGACAACGAAATCAAATGAAGATTGGAAAAGAGCACTAGACAGTTGTTTCCCCCCTTTTAGGACTCGAACCGTAAACCATCGGGGTGATAGGTAAACGGTTGACAGTCAACACTATGAATGGGTGTTCATATCAATTAAATTGGTTCTTTTTTCAATTCAATGCGAATTCACACTAGGATCACACTAGGATCTGAGTCACGATAAAGACAAAAAGATAGGGCACAATGCTTTGGAGTCCTAAAAGGACTTGACAGCTGTCCAGTACACTTGATCGGAACTCACATCACTTCATTGATAATTTAAATGTGGCACAAATTTTGATGGGAATTAAATGAAGTGCTAAGAAGTGAAACCCAGAAGAGAACAATAATAAACAGGGTCCCGTGGTTGTGAAATGACACCTAGCTGAAAGCAAGGGCGTACTACATAGAATAGCAACTTACATCATTTTGATGTGATGCATTTTACTTGAAAAAGAAGAACTGGGAATAATGAACCAGCTTTGACAACAGATTGGGTGATAATGCGAACTTTGATAGAAGAAATTAGTTTTCCCGGTCAATCATTTTTCAGTTGAAAGTAAGCAATTACGACACATGGCGCAACCGGAAGCCAAGACCAGAACATTGGTTGCGAAAAAGAAACATGTTCTCGCGATTAAGGCGGTAAGAAATTGATCTGATAGGCTTTTGTATACGTTTACAGACGACGAGTTAGAAACCCATAATCTATCTCCAGGGGCGAACAGATCTTATTCAATCTCTTGTCCAATCAAACATGCAGTGAACAAAAGTGGTCAATTAATTGTACCCAGTAATCTGGGCACATTGTAGTCGGATGGGTTAACTGCGGGTAAACCTTTAAAAAAACGGCATACGAGCACTTGTGAAAACGGAAAAAAGGCTTTTATTCGCAGGCACATTGTAACGCGGTGTAAAAAATGCTGCAAGGCGTTGCACGATGTGATAGTTTAACATCATGTTGTTTTACTTCATAAACGACCGCTTCGGACAGTGCTACACATCAACATACCGACTAGGCACGTCCTGTTCAATCGAATAGACCATGGGTTAGACAAGTCTTTTACCTCATTAATTGCTAGATCCGCCGTCGGTTGTTAACATCTACCACTAACGGAGACATCCAAAGTCGAGAAAATCAGTAAATATTTATCGAAAAATTCCGTGTAAACCCTAACTGAACATATTCCCAGTATCGAATGGTGACTTGACAACAGCTCAGTCCAAACAGCTATACTCATTCAGTTATGTAAAATACGCATAAATGCGCTTGAGGAATTAGTTTACGTTTGTCCATTTATGTACATGATTTCGACTACTCTTTCCAAACAATGTTCTTTATGATAAAAACGCTGTTGTCTGATGTGCCCCGCAAAAAGCATGCACTTCGCAAACAAAAATTCATGGTCTGGGAAAAGCGATTGAAACTTAAAGATTACCATTGAGGGATATGGCAACCATACCTCAATAGAGGCAAAATGGTAAGCAACTATGGAGCATTTATTCCGCTCAAATCAAAGGGCGTCACAATCCAAGAGCAGCGGCGAATATTTGATGCGCTACATACAGGTGTTAGGGTTTTGTGGCCTAATCCAAAGTGCGTTCCAAACACACCTGCATCTTAATTCAAACTTGATGCAACAATGAACCGCGACAATGCGGTTCATCGTTCCCCAAAGCCAAACCACCCTCTTTATGGAATGTTGCACACATTTCCGGCAGCTAAGTTGCCTTGCCAGGAGAATTTGAAGGTACATATCATTTGAATCACAGTTGAGGGCTCGCATAAAATGGAAATCCTCAGCCCGAGATCATTCAGTAAAAAAACAAATTGTTCGACGATGCACCTCTAGTCCTTGTTCATCATTGCTGTATTTAGGACAGTAATGGGGAAGTATAGAAAACAAATCATCCACAATCTAAGAATGAATTTTTATACAGAACGGTTCTCCCTAGCCGCAGATCCAATCTGGCCTGAAAGGCGAACAGGCAAACTACAAACAGAATTTATGCTAACAAGACCAGCTAATCAGGTACCGACTGAATTTTACTTGATTTACGCTTGCCTCCGGATAGCAGNCGAATCCGTACTCCTGGGGTTTATTCTCGACAGTATTCGCATATTTCCATTCTATTTTCGGCCTAAACGTGGAATCAAAACGAGCGCCTTCAGCTTAGCGCCCAACAGTAAATGCGGGAGAGCACAACTAGAGAACGACTGTGAGTGAATTGGATGATCACGGTACGTCGCGTGTACATACAGCAAAAAATCGGACATACAAGAATGACGCACTAATCAGACTGCATCCTTTACTCTACAACTCGTTGATCGGACAACCGCTATGGTTCGACCGTCAACCGCTCCGGACTCTACTTGCCGTTGGTGTCGTGAGCACCGCTAAGGTGCAACGTGGTCCCGTGCGCCGTCTGACAAGTTCTGAAAGCTCTGTCCCAACGATCAGCACTACACTACCTTGTGGATGAGCAGCGTGAGTTTAGGACCCCAGCGCTCATAAAAAAAATATCGTGCTAAAAAGTCTACGGGATACACAAGAAAACGACTGGTAAGGGGCTCTTCGTCAATGAAACCGGTGAGGGATTACGCGCAAATGACTGGTGCCAGACATGCAACCGATTACTAAGATGTAAAAGCCTCAGAACGCACCGTACACCAACCTTAACCACGGACTTACTGAATACATTAGAAAACTATGGGAAAATTCGGTCAGACTTCACATCTTTCAAGCAAACGTATTGTGTCTTACATATGCCTGAGACCACAACAGCAAACGAACAGGACACAGTGTACAGATAAGCCAATAAAAATACGGCACTCAGAGGCTGTGAACGCAATCAGTTAATTTAACGTGGAGTTGACCTAGCACTTCGATTATTAGTAACCGCTAATTTTAGGTACATATTCGTTCACTACGGCTGATCGAACCCATGTGCCAGCTGGTTTACATCAACGAAAGAGGGAATTAAACGGAACGTTAGCATCTTGCGACGTGTCTACAGCCGATATTCAAACAACAATGAGACGTTCACTTTTCATTTCGTTTAGCCTGTTTGCCGAGCTTGGCAATTTGATTACAAACGTTTCATTACCAGCCAAGGTAACATCGTCACTGCTTGTGAAGTGGCAGTGTTCCGCTTGTACTCATTCGTTTATATACGTCTTCACACATAGGATGAAACATTTGTAAGCAAATTGCCAGGCTCGGTAAACGGGCGAAATGGAATTCAACTCATCCGGGCTACGAGAACCGATTTTCAGTACTTTGTCAACATGCTCACTTTTACCGAATTTGCCAGAAATGGACTGTAAATTATTCAATAGACATTCATGGTGCTATTAGTTACCAAATTTTGATTCTGGTTAATGCGAAATTGCGAAAATGGACAAGTTTTGACGGCACCCTTGTGAAAGATGACTTAATAACGAGGTGAAAAAGGACTAGACTAGATCGCCCAGTGTAAACCGAAATGCACCATGTGTTTGCTGATGGTAACACACCTACAGTATGTTCCAGTAGGTTTCGAATGATCACTGCACAATTGGGCTCTGATACAACCATATGCGAAAAACGGCATGGGGGAGAATTGTTTCGGCCATCACATATACACATGCACAGTTAGGAAAAGATAATCTTAGCTGAAAAAAAATGAGTGAAGGGAGATCCGTATTCGGGTGATGCATGCNTGCTCTTTCCAAGCGCCGGGTGATTAGGTCACTTTTGTATACTCCTTTGAAAGGGAATCGCATGTATAAGTCTTTCTTATTCACTGTTGTTCTCAGAGCTCCCTTGGGTGTCGGACAGGTTTTTTCTGGATGAACCGTTCCGGGTAACCATTAGATGTGTTTGTTTTATATTCTCTAGTTCTTGTGCTAAGCTTTCTTCTGTTCAAATGCTTCTTGCACGGGCTGCGAGGGAGTGGACAAAGTTTCGTTTCTGTTTCAGTGGTACGACGCTTGAAAAGTGAACATATTGTCTAGTCCATGTTGGCGTGCGATAAATACTTCTGTTCATATAACAATCGCTACGTCGCGTGAGATTCACATCGAGAAAATGGAATGTATCTCCTGATTCAGCTTTTGATGTAAAATTAATAGCTGCGTGCGCCTCATTGCATTTTCTCAGTAGCATTTCCAACGAGGTTTTCTCACGTGTCAAAATGAAGATATCATCCTCATAATGACAATAAAAAGGCAGGCTGTCTAAGGTTGCCCTGGCTCATGGTTTTCCAATTTGGCCATTCAGTTATTGGCCATTAGGGGTCTAAGTGGAGAACCCATGGCTACTCCGTCAGTCTGACGATAGATTTCATTGTTGAAAGTGGACTGAACGTTGCTCCTGTTTAATATGAATAAACAGACATGATTAAAGACGATTTATGCCCATTTTCACCTATCCTTTCTGTTCCTCTTAACTTTCATTGTTTGTGTCTTATACAACAAACCATTCATTTTTGTCTCATATACACCCACCCGTCCGTTTTAGATCC